GGTTCAGTTCTAGAATTTCATGGTTAATTTTTTGTCTAGGTGATCTGTCTATTTGTGATAGAGGGGTGTTGAGGTCCCCCACTACAATTGTATTAGTGCTTATTTGGTTTTTCATGTCCATTAATATTTGTTTTGTATAGTTGGAGGCGTTCGTATTTGGTGCATATCTATTTATGATTGTCGTCTCTTCCTCTTGGATTGTTCCTTTCACAAAGGTGTAGTAACCATCTTTGTCTCTCTCAATTAGTTTTGGTTTGAAATCTACTTTGTCTGCAAATAATATTGCTATGCCTACTTTTTTCTGGGTTCCTATGGCATGGAGAACTGTTTTCCAGCCTTTTACTCAGTCTATAAATTTCTTTTGGAGTTAAGTGTGTTTCTTCTATACAGCATATTGCTGGATTTTGCATTGTAATCCATTCTGCCAGTCTATTTCTTTTGATTGGTGAATTGAGGCCATTAACATTGATGGTTATGATTGATAGATATTGATTCATCCTTGTCATGATGTTTTACTTTTGTTGGCTCTTTTATTTATTTTTCCCACTTTCCCTTTAGTGTCTTACCTTGCCCGGTGGCTTCCCTCTGTTGGGCCTCATAGAGTTGTGACCTTCATTGTTTTTTTTACTACGATACTGTTTAGAATTGCTTGTAGTGCTGGTTTGGTGTTCCTGAAATTTGTCAGGTGTTCTTTGTCATGGAAGTATCTAATTTCTCCATCAATTTTGAAAGATAATTTTGCAGGATACAACAGTCCAGGTTGGAAGTTATTTTCTTTTAGGGCTTGAAATACTTCACTCCAGGCTCTCCTTGACTTGAGGGTTTGTGTTGAGAAGTCTACTGTGATTCTGACGGGCTTTCCTTTGCAGGTGATTTGCTACTTTTTTCTAACTGCTTGTAGGATTTTGTTCTTCTGTTGGGTTTCTGGGATCTTGACTATTATATGTCAAGATGTAGATTTTTTTTTATCATGGCTAGTTGGAGTTCTATGTGCCTCACTTATCTGTATGTCCAATTCTCTACCTCTATCTGGGAAGTTTTCCGCTATTACTTCTGTGAGCAGTTTTTTATGTCAATTGTACTTTCTCCTGTTTTTTCGTGGACTCCTATCAGTTTAATGTTATTCTTCTTTGCATCGTCTATCAGATGCTGGATTGATTTCTCGTGGTCCCTTACTATTTTTAAGAAATCTCTGTTTTCATGGTCCTTAACCAGGATCCTGTCTTCTATATCTGATGTTCTATCTTCAGATTGCCTTAATCTGCTGTGGATACTTTCAGTGGCATTTTTAATCTCCTGAATATCTGTTTGAATCTGTTTCATGGGTTCCATTTCTTTCTTATGTTGGGGAATCATGGTTTCCATTTCTTTCTTATGCTGGGTATTCATGGCTTCCAGCATGTTTCTGAGCTCATCTATTATTTTAATCTGTTTCTGTTCTAGAGCCTCTAATCATGTCTTTCACTCTGCTCACCATCTCTGTAGATATCTCAGAGATTATTTCTGCTTTGAATTTTTCTAGAGCCTCATTCATCTCTTTTGTTACTTCCTGTGCTATCAGTTCAAGGTGTCCAGGTGGTTGATTATCAGAATTTTCCACCTCGTTTCCCTGGGGTTTACCCTTGGTGGGGTGGAAGTCTGAGTTTGTGCCTTGCTTAAATGTCTTCTCATTTTTGTTTTTGGTACTGTCCTTGGTTCAACTCCTGGATTGATACTTCAAAATTGCTTATTGTAAGTATCTTTGTTGCTTGTAATTCGAACCCTTATGGAATGATTGCTTCTCAGAGGTGTCTCCCAGATATAGCTGGTCTTCAAGTTTTGAGCCTCTAATGACTCTGAGGCTATATCATTTTCATTTTACCAGGAAGAACAACTGACTAGATCAATCACAACACTTTAGCCCAAGTGATACAATCAGCAACACCGTAGCATCAAGTACATCATAGAAAATGACATTTTGTGGTAGTTATTAATCTATCACCTTTAACTATGTGAATTAAGTCAGAATCGAGGACCAACTCAACATATGTTTATAGTGAATAAACTGTTCAATATAACAGCTTTACCCTTCGGGATGGGGAGTTAGAAGGAGTTGGGCAGGGAGGGATAGATATGTAGAAAGATAGGGGAAGGTTAGCAGTGAGGCCAGAGGACACAGGCAAGAGAAGGAAAACGACAGTAATAGAAAAATAAAGAAGAAATCTGAATGAGGGCCGGAACAGGAACAAAATGGGAGATGAACAATGTGGAGCAACAAGAGAGTGATTGTAAGAGAGAGAGAAAGGGAAGAGAAAAGAAAGAAGGAGAAAAAGGAGAGAAAACAAAAATTTTAAAAGTAAGAAAAAAATTAAAGTTAAGAGGAGAAAAAACACAAACCAATAATACTAATTTTGTAAATAATAAATAAAAATGAAAATGAAGGGCCTCCTTCAGGGTATGTCTCTGCTGTTACAGCAGGCCAGTGAGTAGCAGTGTGCAGATATAAGTCAATGAGTCTCAGCAAGCCAGTTGCAGACCCATGAGATTCAGGCAGATTTCTGGCTGCAAGTCCCAAGTTGAGCTCCCTGTCCTCCTGTAGGGTTGAACTCTGCAAGGTCGTACTGCAGGTTTCAGCTGCCCTTCCCTTGAAGATAGTCCCGGTTCTGATGGGAGGTGATGATCCCTCCAACTTACCCAGTATGGTGGTCTGGTGGTCCAGTGTCCCCTGTGTCTTTGTAGTGTGGAACCAGGTGGCAGTACAGCCAAGAGGACAGAGGAAGGAAGGGAGAGGGTCCTGCAGGAGCCTGGCTGGCTAAGTGGATTGCTGCGGGGCACGCAGGCTGGATGGAGCAGGCTCCTTGTGACCAGGGACCCACTCTCTGGTGTCCATGGATGTGCCTGGCTCAAGGTGCAGTATTCTTTACTGCTCTGATAAATACATATTTCTTATTCAAAGAATTGATATGAGGACTAGGGAATCACATCAGTGAAAAACAGATTTAGTCTTTGGAAAGAAAGATACTGGATAGCTTTATGAAAATAATCTTATTTTAACCTTTTCCATACAATTGTTAGTTTTGTTCAGTTTTATGTTTCTTTAGGCTTTCTTTTGGCTGAGGACTAGATAATTTATGATACTTGCTCTAAAAATCAATGTTAAGTACCTGGATTATGTTAGAAATAAAAATTACTTAACCTGGCTTTGAAGGTAGGAACAGTTACAGACAGCTTTCTAAAATGGTGATTGCTTATGTACATGAAAAGTTTTCTATTCCTACTTGCAAGTTGGGAATAAGGACAGTTGAGTCCAAAAATAAGAAGGAAACATAAGTCATACATTTTTTCCCAGTCTGGAACTACTTCCAAACTTTGATACAATGTGCCTTTAACAAACCATGAATTTTCTCACCTCTTGAGCCACCATATCTACCTCTTTTCAGCATAGTCAGGGACCCATTATACTAATCCAGTATACCTTCATATCTCTAACAAGCACATGTCAATGATAACTTTGAATATTTATTTGATGCCAAGTGTATAAATCTTCTCTGTGTTGTCTTATAAAGTGAGGAAATTGTGACTTGCACAATTTGATTACTTCAATTGTTTAATTTGGTTCTTTCAGCCACAGTGTGCTTTGATATATGAGCAAGAATCCTATTTAATTTTTGTACTACTGGTGTCCAAAGATATTTGTATAGATTCATATTTTTAGGGAAGATAAAACTTGAGTGCCAATAGGCTAAAGTAACTTTTATATATATTTTTAATTAGGTACGGTTATATGCAAGACCCGATGCTATCAGAAGAGGATCCGGGGACTATGCTCTTCATATTACAAAGAGATTAATAGAATTTTATGAAGACTACTTTAAAGTGCCCTATTCCTTGCCAAAACTAGGTAAGAACTTTGATTATTTTTTTGGAAGAGCGCCTTGAAGGTTAAATTTTTTCTTCATGAATTTGAGACACCCAGAAGCAAGAAAATTCAAAGGTTTATATTTTTAGCAGTGATGAACATGAAAAACAGTTTCTTTTGAAGAAGTGAAATAAGATTTAGTGTTTCTGGAATCTTACAAATTAAATGTTTGTGGGAATTAAGAAAGGCATTATGTAAGCTTAGGATTCCAAAAGATAACCCAAGTAGCTATACTTTGTTGAATATGTTCTATGGAGGGGTGCTTGCCAACATCACATTTAATCATAACTATGATTATACTATGTGGGGAGCTACATTTAGAATGATTTCAAGATAGGAAGTTGAGACATGGGATTTTCTCTTTATTTAGACAACCAGTAAGTGAAGGACTGGGCTTTCAAACTTGGTCTTGATGACTCCCAGAACTATTTAGTATTTCACATGAAGTCCATCATGGATGGGGAGTTTATTTTTCCAAAATCTCAGATGTCAAATTTTAATGAATTAGTTTTTCTTTAGGTTACTTTTGTTCATTCATATTGCTAGTACACAATTACAGTAAATAGAATAAAAAGAAGAGGGAAGAGAAACTTAATAATGCAGATTATGTGCTCTGTGAATGTTCTTACATTTCTTCCTTTTACAAAAGGAATGTGTTCAGTGATTGTTGGTGAAATGAATAAATGAATTGGTCTGTTATCCTAATTAGAACAAAGTTTCTGCTTTTACCAGGGAGTGGTCTATGGCATTCCAGGACATTAGAAAGAGTATTCATATGAATTAGAAATGTTGAAGTTACATTTCCTTCTTAGATAACCTGTTGTGAGATATTACATAGCAATAATTCTTTGATTTCCCGCTTTCCCTGTCCATCCTTTTTCTTCCCAAGAGCATTTTTGATCAGATCCACATAAAAGGTATTTCTCATTGGGAAGAATAAAGTGTTTACTTGATCAAAAGTGTTAGTTTGAACCACAGGTTCCTTTCCCTGGAGAACTGGATCTATTTCATTAAAGTACTTGCCTGCTGTGTAGCTTTATTGGTCTTACAATGAGTAGTTAGATCAGAAAGTAGATGGAATCACTGATATTGTTATCTATGGGTAGGGTGTACAATTTTTATGAGTTATATTACAAAATTCTGAGGTCTTTTTGAAACGCTTGCTCTTAGAATCAATAGACAAATTTTTATTTCAAATAGGATCTGTGTTTTGTTCTGTTCCATTCTTTCTTGTTTTCTCTTCTGCATTTACCTCCCTGTTAGAATCTGTTGCTTTGAAGCCTCCTTGGTAGTCACCCAAGGCGGAAAGGAATACCTCACTTCATTTGCATTGGAAGTGACACTGTTACCCACTCCAGGTAAAACTGGCTAGGAACTTCCCAGCTTGGCCCTAATGTAAAATTCACAAGTGCTTATGTTGCAAGGTCAGCAAGAGAAATAAAATGTGCATCTTTCTCTGTCCCCTGCAGACCAGTAATTAGCAAAAGAACTCAATTTGTACCTTCAGGGGGTTCCATGTAACTGTCAGCTGGCAGCAGGAAACATTTCTGTTCCTCTATTTCACTCACAATTGAACTGTGCAGGCTTTCATCTGTAGAAGAGAGCTTTGTTCACTGTTACTTGTTAAGCTACCTTATGGTGTATATAATTGAATGATTTGACTTACCCCAGCACATTCCTTTTTGTATATCTAGGGGAGTTGTCACAGCCAATGGTGCTTTGTAAAATTCCTCTTAAAGTTCTACTTATTTTATATATCTATACATATTTAGATCTATATCTAATGGATTTATAAGTATGCTTTCAGATACCCCCTGCATAACAATCCTCAAGTACAGAAGCATTTTGACTATTCTTACTTTCCATCATACATTATGAACTATATTTTAATATTATGTGGACAAAAACTCAGTCTTTATTAATGATGCCTGTAGATGTATCCTAGGTCTTAGCTGAGGCTGCCTTTAGATTATCTAAGATGTTTTCAAAGACCTAGTACCCTCTTGCATTCCGTCATTTTTCTTTTTTTTTTTATTTTTTGGTACCGGGGATTGAACTCAGGTCCTTGCGCTTGCGAGGCAGGCGATGGAACCACTGAGGTAAATCCCCGGCTCATTTTTCCTATAAATATTTATTGAGTGCCTGTCATAGGCATTTTTATATGATGCAATACAATAGTGAATAAAATAGGCAAAAATCTTCTTCCTGGGAGATACTTCCCATTAAATACTTCCCATTAAAAAGTATTTCACAATATGTATACCTTATTGAATAGAGACAAGCAACATTAAAAATAAAACTAGAACAGAATGATAACAAATATGTGGGGCAAATGGAAAAGGGGCTGAGGTTTTTAAATGGTCAATCATAGAAAGCTTCATAGGAAAGACTCTTGAGCAAAAAACTCAAGGGAATGAAGGAGTTAAGTTCTGAGGACATCATGGGACAAGAAGGATAGGCAGAGGGAACAAAGTGCCTAGATTTTGAGCTGAGAGATTTCCTAGGGTATTTGAGTGAAATAGGGTGAGAAGTCAGTGGCACCCTCCGCATGTGATGGGTGGATGGCAGCTTATGCAGAGCCAGGAGGCTGTGGTCAGCATGTGGGAACTTTTTTGTCATTGTTCTTCTTGTTTTTTTTTAAAAGTCCCAGTTTGTATTTATTTTAAAATTAATTTTATTGGTATATTTTATATGTACATAATGATCACTTTCATCAAAGGGAATTTGTATCTGTACGTAATATATCTTGATTCTTCTTTTTTCCTCATTTCTATCCCTACGTGGTCTATTTTAATCAGAGGCATTATATAATCAGTCTGACATATGTTCTGAAGGTCATTCTTATGGCTATATTGAGAATATACTGTAAGGGAATGGTACTTAGTTGGTGGGGAATTTTGTCACTCATGGGTTATTGGCCATGTCTGGAGACAGTTTTGTTTGTTATATTTTGGGGTGGTAAGGTAGGGTGTATGCTACTGGCATTACTGAGTAAAGGCTGGGGAACTGCTAAACATCCTACACTGCACAAGGTAGGCTGTCATAATAAGGAGTGATTATCTAGCCCTGTCAATAACGGCAAGGTTGAGAGGGAAAAGAATGCGGGGCATAAAAGCCAGGCAAAATTCAGGTGAAATAAGGTGGTTACTGCTTGAACCAGGATATTAATAGTGAGGTGGTTAGAAGTAATCCAAGTCTGGATATATATTGAAAGTAGATACTACAGAAGTTACTGATGAATAGGATATCTGATGGAAGTGAATCAGAGGCATCGAGGATAATCCACAGTTTTGGGTTTGAGAACTAAAAGGATGGAATTGACATTTATTAAAACAGAGAGATTACAGAAGGTGATAATTCATGAGACTGACATGTCTGCTGAGCATTTAAGTGGAAGGAACCATGGGGTCTATAAGAAATTCAAGTTTGAACTTCTTTATAAATATGGAGTTTGAATGATAAATCTAGCTAGAATTATAAATTTGCCAACATGTTAATACATACGAAACTGTAGGGCTGGTAGGGGTTACCAAAATAGTGAGAGCACATGAAAAGAGGAAAGGAATAAGGAGGCACTGATCCAGTGTTTAGAGGTCAGAAATATTAGGGTCCAGGAAAGCCTGCTGAGAAGAAGCAGTTAGTTGAGGAACTAAGGTTTGTGTTGTCTTGGGTATCTGGTCAAGAAAGCTTTACAAAAAACAATAAACTGTGTTAGTCAAGTTAGGTGAGGACTAAGAATTGACCCCTCATTGTTGATAACAGTATGAAGGTCATTAATGATGTTGATATGTATGTTCAAGAGAAAGTGAGGAAGGTCCAGGGCAGGGAGAGAGGGAGACAGACAATGACTAGCCACAGTGAGTATGAGCACAGATTGACATTTCTGACAATTCCCAGCAGGGGAGGCTTGTGGGAATAGGAGGAGATGGAGACAGGCTTGTATTTCATTAAGACTCACCTCTGGAAAATTGCTGCTTCTGCTAAAGTAAAACATCCTGTCTCAGAGATTGTTTTTGTCCCAAACATCCAAAGGAGGTATGGGATTTGCTTTTTTAAAATTTGCATTAGAAGATTAAAATTTGAAATAAAGGAGTAAAATATAGGAAAATTCTTCAGCAGTTAACTTTACTGAAGCTGTGGAGGGGATGTGTGTCTATGTGAATATTGGGATGCTACAGTGCAAGATGAAATAAAACCCTTATAATTTAATATTGGATTCTCCTTTTCTGAAAAGTCATTTTGCTCTCTGCCTTAAACTCTGCAATATTTTTCCGCTTCTTCCCTCTTAAGTTCTTCTCATTCCTAATGCTAAGTAGTTTAACTTTCTTTACTTAGCCTCATCTTACACTAACTCATCTCTAAGGATTTGCATTTCCACCACAAGTAGTTTATCAAGAGAGTTCCCAAAGAGGAAGCCTGATGCTTGCTGGTAGGATAATAATTTATTTTCCTTGTTATACAAAGATATTTCTTTATCATCCAACATAAGCAACCAGTGTGCAATCTGTGAAGATTTGATTTAAAATCTATAAATTAGGGAATTAAAAGTAGTGATTGTAGGAGGTTTGCAGAGGCTTGCTATATTTTGGTGTTAAAATGAGTCTAAAGCAAAGTATAGTCTACTTGGTGTAACAGAGTAAGCCTTTCTATGTCTGTGTACTTTTTTCATGAGCACCATCAAAGGTGTGGAGAGTTACTTTAAAATAAGGTTGTTGTAAACATATAAAGAATTAAATTACTTTCTTATCTTGCAAACATACAATGTTGTCTTATCTTGACAACAATAATGACAACTATGTGCTTACAAAATGTGTTACTATTGAGGGCTTTGTATGTTATAACTCGTTTAATCTTTATCACAGCCCTTTGAGGTAGTACATGTTATTTTCTAATTTTTCCAGACAAGACATTTAGGCACTCAGTGATGAGTAATGTATACAGATCACACTGCAGGAGTTAGTGGTCTTAGAAGTCACACTCAG